TCCACACCTTTTTGTCATGCAAGGCTTTTTTTCTTTTTCCAGATGTGAAGGATAGTATGTTTATATTTCTTGTTTGCATGTCATCTCTAATTCCTGCCTCAGGATAAGAAGAAGGAATTTCTGTTCATCCCTTCCTAGGGAAAAGACAGGTTCTTTTAAGGAAAGAAATATTAACTCAACAGTCCACTTAAAAGAATGGTTGTCTCAGAAATAGCTCTAATTTTTAAAGAAACCCCTGAAAAGTGAAACCAAAGTTTTCCTCCTGTCAGGCTCTGGTAAGATCATTTGTGTGTCTATGTCTGTGGTGTGCCATAGAGAGCATCCTCTTTTTCAGCCACAGGAGCCAGCACTTGGTGCAGACACCTTTGCAAAGCTCTAAAGGAAATGTCAGCTTCAAATGTAACCCCAAGCCTTTGCAGTGTCATTGCTGGTGACCTGTTGGTAGAGGCAGGCAGCCAGCCCTCATGTCCAAGGAATCTGTGTTCGCTCTGTGCTGGTTTTTAACTGCTGTCCCTTTCACCATAACAATGCCAAGATTCATCTTTTGTCTTCATGAAATCCAAAAAGACTCCAGGATTCTCTTTCAAAACCATTTATGGTGTTTAGTTAGGTCTTAACTGTTTTCCTTCCTTGCAGGATCAAGTTCCCTCTAGGAACCAGTTGTTGCCCACATGACCTAAACCAGTTGAAATCATACACATACATTTATGAGACATGTACATCACATACATTCATATACACAGATGTCGTGCTGTGATGCAGATTCTGAGAAATTCCCTCAAACAAGTTGAACAGTCTTGAGGGTTTTCTGATTGCCAGTGGAGGCAAACCCTCCACCGTTCAACCATCTTTCTTCCTCCAAAGGTTCTTTTTTTCCATAGTCACAGGAAACTCAGGTGCCCCCTCCCCAGGGAATCACAGCACACCTCTCTGTCACCATATGCACTAGTCTGCTCCTGTCCTACTTAAAATACAAATTGCCAAATGCAGCTGACTCAGGCCAATGCTGCTTGTGCTTTCTGCAGTGCCACAGCCAGAGCAAAGGTGCGTGGCCATTCCTCCCCTTGGCCCTGCTCCTTGTTCTAGTGAGGCTCTGCTCTGTTGCCACCCTTCTCTGGTGACTCATGTTCCTTGGGTAACTATTAGCTTCCCATTACACAGTTTTGTCAGAAGCAAATGTGTGAATAACAGTAAGAACTGATTTGGGACGTAACTGAAATGCTTTGTTGCCTTTATTTCTGAAACCTGGCCTTTTTACCTCTGGTTTTCTCAGTTTTGATCACACTAGAATTGTGCATGCTAGGTTTTTATGTGGTCAAAGCAGGAAGGAGTTGAAAGCCAATAGATCTGGACACTCAGTGCCACTCATCTGTAGTATTTAAGGAAGTGTTTGTCCCTCTTCTTTATATCCTAATTTCATTTAGCGTCTGAATTCTGTCACATTCAATAAACACCATTTGCTAATTTGCTAGAAAGGTGCAGGCTTAATAGAAACTTACACCTCAGAACTGTTTGGTGGAGGCCGTGTACATGAGTCTGGACAAAGTGTGTCTGTCTGTCTCTTACTCTCTCGACAGTTTCTTCCATTCCAGAAAATTGTCTGCAGTAATGCCATGTATGATGCTGCATCCACTTTTCATATCTTAACACAACTGCCATGTGTTTTGCCTTTTGCATTAGCAGAACGTTTTGGGGTTTTTCTCCCTCTTCAGTTTGAAGGTCTGTGATGATTTCTGATAGCTTAACGATGATATTGTTGGAAATGTGATTCTAGCTTTAAAGCTCCCTTTCCTTGTACGTGGTTGTGTTTGCTTTCCTGATGGAGTGTTTCTGGATGACAGGCAGAGGACAGTTTCTGCCACGGATGTGAGTGTGTGTGTGAGTACCTTTAACAGTCTCCTTTGTAGATACAAACGTTTTAGTGACCATCTCAGAGTCGCAGAATGTTTCCCAAAACATTTCATATTCGGAGTTGAAAAGACACAGAAATTGCTGAGATGTGTTTGTAGCACATATAACCTTGGCACATAAAAAGGGAAAAAAACATAATGGACTGTGTAAGTTTCAAAAGCAGCAGCTCCTCATTGACATTTGAGAGTTCAAATGAAGTTCATCTGTTTCCCCTGTGTCCTTCAATGCAAAGAAAGAAAATCTTGATGCAAAAAAATTTACCATTTAAAATTTCATAAAGTTCTTTTTTTCTCTTATTAGTTTAGTTTAATGATACTCAGCATGCTCCCAGCAGTTACTCTGTTGATTTATTCCAGTCCCATATGTGCTTAGGTCTGATCAGATGAACTGTTGACTTGTGTACATGTTACACTGAGATGGGAAAGCATGGTCTGACAGCTCTGAAAATATGCATTTTTTATTAAAAAAAAAAGCATTGTAACAAAAGAAGCCAAGCTACAAAGGGTTCAAGATTGAGTAGTTTTGCCAGTTTTTAAGTGAGTTCTGAATGTGGCTAAGGAGTTACAAACCCTGTGTGTCTGTGTTGTGTATGCCAGGTGGTATAGTTGTAGGCAATTGACTTAGCTGTAAGTGTGTTTTAAAAGTGTAAAAAAAATAAACAGAAAAACTCACTTGCACGGGTTGAAAAGTACAGAAATGACACTTGTGAACGTAACACTGTAGTTTATAGATCTTAAGCTGCTAATTGTTGAGAGAGATTTACATTTGTCTTGTCTGATTGTCACAGATTTATCTGTGACACTTTTACTGTATATAAAAACTTTAAATAAAGACCTCAGCTATTAACACCAGCCTATTTTGGATGTTTCCAAAGGGACAGGGCGGGGGTTGTTAGGAAAAAAATGAGGGATGTGTTAAAACTGTGCTGAGCCTCAAGAGCTCAAAATCTGAGCAACTTTTTCATCCTGCAGTCAGCCCTGCACCACCTGGGCACGGCGAGAATAAAGTGGCAGCAGTGTCTGATCTCTGGGACAGCCTCTGGCAGGGTCCCCGCTGGGCTGGTGCATCACAGTGTGTCTGCCTCCCTCCCTGCCACACTCAGCTTGCAGGTGGGTGTAATCAAGTGAGATGAGTTACCAATGAGGTCTGTCTTGGAAGGACCAGCTGTTGGTCCTGGCTCAGGATAGCATGTTGTGCTGGTTGTGAAGGTAAGTGGTTCTGGGGTAAATTCTTTTGGGGCGGTCACTTGAGAGGTGCTGGCTGTGGCTCAGAACCAACAAGAGGGCATGATGACCAAGGGTAAAAGCAGTGGCCGCCTACTCCCATGTCAACAGATTTAATCCCATAATTTAGAGGATTAGGAGTTGCTACTCAGTTTTTTGGTTAGTCTGTGGGAAGTGGTTTGATCTCTCCACCCAGGTCCTGTGGGACAAACAGGGATGTGGCAAGGGTAAGGCTATGCTGGGTTGCAGCTGTGGAGGTGAGGAATTGGCTGATGTTTCTCACTGGAGCAGTCATTCTCCCTAGCCAAATCACACCTTGATGTGCTGATAGTAGAAATTTGGGCAAACAGACAGCTCCCTACCACAAAATACCTGTCTTCAAGTTGTTCCTTAAACACCAAATCCACTTTTCTTCTTTAAAAGTGGTGGTTTGTGGCTCGTTGGCCTTAGTGGAGCCTCCCTCGCTGACTGGAATTCAGCAGAAATGGGAAGAAGGTTCTCTGCTGCCTGAGTTAGCAGGGAATAGAACATCCCTGGGCTAACCAGCTCTGCTGAGTGACTCTAGCCAGATCCTGTCTGAATTTAGGAATACGAGTCACCACATAACGTGTGTTCTGTACCAGCTTTGTGTCAACTCTGGCCCAAGGGGGAAAAATAAGGAACAGTGCCTGAGGAGAAAGGCCAGAGCAGGCTGGGAAGTTTTCAGGCCTCCTCCCGAGTGCAGCTGAGCCTGTAGCCCTGCCTGTTCACAGCTGATACTCGCCTTGCCTTACAGTCAAGAGGTCTGAAGGCATTCAGAATTCCACTACACTCAACAGCACTCTCAGATTGGAGTTACCTATCAGATCTCTGCCGTTCATTGTTTGACAACACCTTTATGCCTAACCCTAGCTGTTATCTGTAGGGAGTGGGAGCCCTGAGAGCCCGTCTGGCCAGCAGAGAAGCAGATGAGTGTGATACCACGTTGCTCCATCCTGTCAGTCAGATCCTCAATTCCACCCGGTTCGGGCACTGCTGCCACACCTGCACATCACCCACATGCTTCCTCAGCCCCTGAATGTGAACATGAGCTCTGGGCCAAGCCAACTCCCATTCCTCCTCGGCCCTGCTGGACGTGTCACTGGAGAGGACGGTGCTAACGCAAGAGCGGACTGAGGGGGAGGGAGCTGTGACCGGAAAGCATTCATCATCCTCCTCTCAGGCACACCCTGAGAGCTAAGTGGGATGTTTTACAAATCAACATCCTGCTTACCTGGGTAAGGGATCCTGAGAAGAGGGATCATATGAGGCGCAGGTCACGTTTCACTTCTCAGCAGAAAACATCTTCAGGGAAACAACATCCCCGGACCCTCCTGATCATTGTCTCACGCATGCTGAGGCAGTTACTATTCTCGGCACACTGCTCAGGAACTTGGGGTATGTTCCTCCAAAAATGTTTCTTTGAAAGATCTTTTGCTTATTTCAGATCTTTTGCTCCTGCAATGGGCACATCGGCATTTCCCTCCCTCTTCGGAAACAGACTGTCAGGTGGGTGACGGACTGGCATTCCATCTGTCCCGTCCATTGCTTTCCCGGCTGGGAAAGCCTGGTTGTTGCTAGGAGCGTCCGGGGTGACCCGGGCAACCCGAGCCCACGGAGCCGGCCGGAGGTGCCCGGGCCTGCGGGTCCCGCAGTGCGGGCGGTGGCAGCTCCCGGCCTGCGGGTGGATACGGACGAAGCCCGCCCTGCTGAACTGCAGGAAGGAATCCCGCGTTCTCCGCCGGAGCCGGGGCGGCCGGGAGGGAGGGAGGGAGGGAGCGGGAACCGCCTGCCCTTGCTGCGGAGGGGTAGGAATGGGCCCCGGACCGGCTCCCCGGGCCCATTCCGATGTCGGGGTTGGCGGAGCGGCCCGGGGCTCTGAGGGCTCTGAGGGCTCCGCTCCCCTCGCCCGAGCGGGTCCCGCCGCGCCTCAGGGACCGCGACCGCCGCGCTGCCGCCACCTGGCGGCGCTACCCGGTACTGCACGTGCGCGCTTGCCGCGGCTCTGGCGCCCCCTGGCGGTCCTAGCTGGCACGGCCCCGGCACAGCCCCGGTGCCCGGCCGGCCCCGTGGCCCCGGTACAGCCCCGGTACGGCCCGCAGCCCGGCACGCCCGGTCCCCGGCACGGCCCGGCACGGCCCGCACGGCCCCAGCCGGCCGGTACGGCCCCGGCACGGCCCCGGTACGGCCCCGCCGGCACCCCCCGGGCCCCGGCACAGCCCCGGTACAGCCCCGGCACGGCCCCGGCACGCCCCCACGCGCCCGCCCCCGGCACGGCCCGGCACGGCCCCGGTACAGCCCGGCAGGCACCCGGGCACAGCCCCGGCAGCACGGCCCCGGCACGGCCCCGGCACAGCCCCGGCACGGCCCGGCACGGCCCGCAGTGGTACCGCGGCACAGTCCCGGCACTGCCCCCGGCGCTGTCTGCCCGCACTTCCCGCAGTTCACACAAAAGAAGCCTTTTCTCAGATGCAGGGTAGCCTCCTAAGAGAAGAAGGGGGGAAATCATATGAGATTTGGAGGTTCTCTGAGGACAGAGAGTGTAGGAACAATGGCCACGTTGATAAATTCCTGATTTCCTGACATGGGCCAGGGAAGGAGGAACCTGCACAGTGGCAACACTGCAGAGTGACCGGGGGCTGGACGTGGCAGCTGGGCCGGCTCAGCAGGGAGACAGCCCACAGGGGCACAGGCACAGCACAGTGCAGTGCAAGAAGAGCTGGCAAGGACAAGCTGCCCCCCTGAGGCCAGATAAACCCACAGAGATTCAGCCGGAAGATGCTCTCTCCTATTAGCAAAATGCCCATCATCCTTTTGCCACATCGCCTTCCCAAGAGCTGCCGAGAGCCGCACCTTTTGCCAGGTGTTACCAATGTGGTTAATTACTGGGGGCAAGGTGTGGCCCCATCTGAAACTGGGGAGGCTGCGGTGTGCAGAGTGAGGGTTGTGGAGACAGGGCTCTGAGCTGGGAAATGGCTTTTAATTGAGCTGCTAAAATCCTTCTCCCTCTCCCCATCAGCAAAAGGAAATCTGGGGCTCTGTTATCCCAGATACTCGTATTGTTTTGCTCCCACAGCTGTGGGAGCTGCCCATGGAACCCCACACAGGAATTCAAAGACTCAAAAAGTAAGTGAGCCGGGATGTCTCATTCGACCCCAAACAACTTGAGTCCTTCTGTGGGGAAAGCTCAGGCCTACAGCCAGTTGCCCGGATAGCAGAGACTTGAGCCCGAGGCTGGGACTGGGCTCTGGGGATGGTGGCTTGAGCCGGGGCGTGCTGCGGGAACAGGAGGCTCGTGCAAAGGGCGGCGGCGGTGAGGCCGTTCCTGCCCCGGGCGTTCGCAGGGAGCCTGGAACCACCTACGGAGGGCGGCTGATACACGGGGGGGCTCGGCTTTTCCTCTCTGAGGGCTGATAAGCACCAAGAGGGGTAGCGAAGTCAGCCTCGCCTGGTCTTCACGCCTGATACAAAAACACAGACAAGGCACGGTTTGTAGGTCAAGATAATCGACCTTGCTAGGCTTTCCTAAACGCGTTTTACACGAACGCACCAGTGACAGGAGTGATAATGGCAGCGGAGTAATAGATTGCTACTGTCTGGGTTACAAAGGGCTTCCTGGATACCCAGCGCTGGATTCCTGAGCTGCCAGTGCAGCGCTCTCAGTTCCCACGGCCCCGAGGCACAGCAGGCAGCTGTGCCCGAACCGCGGGGACCTGCCCGGGGGCTGCCCCGGGGTGCTCGGAGCACAATCCCGCGGACGTCGAGCTCAGCGCAGCAGTGCCGAAGGACCCCTCACACGCCAGCCAGCTTCCCGGGAGGCTGTGGGTGGGTGAAGCCCCTCCTGGCTGGCTTGGCTCATGTCCCGCGCTGATTTTATTGCGGCTGTGGCACCTGGCAGAGCTGGCACACACTCTGTTGCCTTCTATTTTTAAGATTTCCCTTGGAGCGTGTATGTAGGGTAGCTGCTGTCCCTGCAGATCTCGTCAGGGTGATGGTGAGGCTCAGCTGGTGGTGGACTGCTGCCTCCCTCTGAGATGAAGATATTGAGAAGGGTCACAGGCCCACAGACAGCCAGGGCCAGCCGGGACTGTGATGGTCCTCTTGGCTGCACCACCCAGACCAGAGGCTGCACACTGGTGTTTTCACTTGCTGAGGCATCTCCCCACACTGAGACCAGGGACAGGGTGGGACAAGATCAGGCCAGGGTACCCCTGTGTAGCCAGGGAGCCAGCACCCTGCTGAGGCCCCAGTGATGCATTGGCCACCAGCAGCTCTGGGACCCAATGCGGGAGTGGGGACACGGTGCTGGTGCCCCAAGTGCCTCCCTCCAGTGACACCAGGCAGGGCCACATCCAGGCTCCAGGTGCAGGCTGAGGACTGGGAAAGTCCTGATGGCTGGCCAGAGGGCCCTGGGACTCATTGTTCACCCTGCTGGCAGCAGCATTTGAGCTCCCACTGGACAAGCCCCTGTTTGCTCCCGGAGGTGGGAGGTCTAGTGCTGGGGCCCAGCAACCCGTGGGTGTGGGCTTTGGGCAGGGAGCAGAGGCAGAGCAGAGCAGGAACTGGCTGGTTTTTCTAGCCACACTTCCCATTTCCGCCGTCTGTGGCCATCCCTGCAGTCCGAGGCCAGATCGTGGTTTTTAAAGGTGCTGGTTTTGCTTCTCTGTTAGCCCACTCCAGCCCTGACTCACTTCCTTTCCCAGCGCTATGCCGTTGGGAATGCTGCAGGACATCCCTCTGTGCGCTCCCATCCCGGAGCTGTGGAGCAGGGACTGCTGTGCCTGCTGTCTCCTCCAGCACGAGCAGTCTCTAACTCATCAGGTCACCTACACAGGCTGAGGTTCAGAATATGCCAGTGCTCCCCTAATCCCTGTTCCCCCCGTTCACCTCCTGAGGAAGAACAAGCCAACATTAATCAGCAGTTGGGTTTGTTTTGTTTATTGTTTCAGCTCATGGGCTCTCACCCAGGTTTGATTTTTTTTGTCTGGAGCATCTGGAACCCCTGAGAATCTTGGGCAGTGCAGATAGTTGTCACAGCGTACAGAGTGTGACAACAATCCATCCATGCTCTTTCAGAGGAGGGTCTGGGGAGAGCTGAAGTTTTTCACCGAGGAAGTTTCTAACACATGCTTGGAGCTCCTGCTAAGAATGCAATAATTAATATTCAGGGACTCCTGCCAATCAGCCTGGCAGGGCAGTCCTCCTCCAGCCAGGCACAGGGAAGTGAAATGACATCCATCAGGTCACCGATGGCACTGCCCATGGTCTCTTTGAGAGGTGGGAGAGCTGTTGGAGCCCCTGCCAGCCCCCAGTGCATCTCCTCAGTCCCATGAGGGGCAAACCACCATTTTTGTCATGGTCAGAAAAAAAAAAATCACAAAGTCTGGTTGCTTTTCCACCTTGATTTACTATCAGCTTTGACAAGCTTTGTCTCTCGGCTCCCAGGATACTGCCAGCCGTATCTAATGCTGTTGATTTGATAATATATCTAATCTGACTTTCTTGAAAATGCCCAGTATCTCAGAGCTTCTGTTCTCCTACTTGAACTAGCTTCCTTCCTTGCCTTCTTTCTCTTTCCCAGCTGGGGCCAATCTGTCTGGGAAATAGTCCAATTTACTTCCATCTGATGGGAGCGGATCCCAGCTCTGTTCCCTTCATCAGCTTAGGTCATTATTTTGAAATCCCTCATTTTCCTCCACTGAGTTTTTGCTGCTGCTTTTGTCCCTCATTGGAGGCACCAGTGAAAACACCTCTACATACATCTTCCTATGAGGTCTTCCCAGAGCAGCCACCATGCACTTGGCATGACGTGGACGTTTGAGATCCAGTCAAGGTGTTCCCTGCATTTTAGACCTTCCCGTGGTCTGAGGAGGAGCACCAGTATCCCATGTTGGATACAGCTTAAACTAGCAGGTCTAGGCCAGGCTTCAGTCTTTCCAAAGGCATTCCCCAAGCACTGGGGGCACCCTTGAACCTGGTGCATGGTCCTTTCTGTCCCATGGCTCCTGCGGCTGGCAGCTGCTGTGTGGGACAGCCAGGGCTCTGTTACACTGCAGTGTGTGGCTAAAGGACCTGTCTGCTTCTGCTCCCGATGGGATCCTCTGGATGGGCCCTGGACCTGCTGCATTGCTCGCCCTGCCTGGGGCTGTCGATGGGCCCTGTCACCAGCCCTGTCACCAGCCCCTGTCACTGGCTGGTGAGGGCTCTGCCAGGGCGGGGGCCGCCTGTGCTGCTCCCCCGTGCTCAGCGTGGGGAGAGACCCCGCTGGCATCCTCCCACCTGCCACGATGTCAACCAGGGCTGCAATGGCATCTCTGAAAGGGGCACTGAGCTGCTTCTAACTTGATCATGGTGACAGGAGAATCACAGCTGAATTGTCCAGTTTATGGATCCCCCAAGTTAATTAACTGTGATTGATAAGACACTGCCAGAATGAACCATACTGTAGGCTTATCTGTGTAATCTCTGTTTGTGTGTTTAAAGACTGGTAGGAGAGCCAAAAAAAAAATCCAGACAAAAAGATAAGGCTGAAGATGCATGGTGATGTCTTGAAAATTTAATTTTGCAGAGAAAATATCCCTTTTAAAACTACATTATTAACTGCTGTCAAGTGAGAGCCATTTGGCCTTCACGTGCTGTGAATGAATTCAGCCAAGTTGTGTCAGACTGCTCTGAAAAGCAGTGTGTGCCACAACCCAGGTCCTTCCCTGGGCTCTGGGTGCATAAAATCTGCATGATTGCTCTGCAATGGGGCTTGTCAGCAGGGACTGCAGCTGGGTTATGAATCACTTTAATTTGTCATGTGAGCTGGTTTCACACCAACATCTCTTGAGGGAAAATGCTGGAAAATTGGGGGAGGGAGAAGAGGGAATGTCAGATGCAACCCCCCCTGCCCCGCTTCTTGATGGAAATGATTCTCCCTCTCTACCAGCTAATGACTAGTCCTAATTTAATAGAATGGAGCAAAGTGGCCAACA